CATTCAGATCCCCTACCACAATTACTCTCTACTTGGTTTAAAAGGTCCTATACTTCATTTTAAAATATCCCAAAAATCTTTCTTCTCCTTACATTCCTCTCTTTTCAGGGGCATACACCTTTTTTATGGGGCCCCTTTTTTACATCAAACCCTTTACTTTAAACACAATAATTTTTTGGAAATTTTTCACATTCTTTTTCTCTTTTTCTCCTTCCATAAAAAGATCCTTCAACATTACTGCTACGCCTTCCTTTGCTCTAAAATCTCTCAGATACCCCCAGTTTAAACCCATTTATTTAAACCCCACCGAAACTCCCCTATCCCCCCTTTAGCTTTTTTTTGCTTAGGGCCCCGGCATCCAAATTCTTTTCATTTTATAAAATTTAGCAAAACATCTGTTTTTTGGTCATTTCCCCCCACTACATCCCCCGCACATTCAAACATCCCCGTTTTATAAAGTTTTTCTTTTTTCTCCTTTTAGTAAATGTCTTTCAGGGAAGGGGTTTTCTAGCCCATTGCTTTCCCCGGCCCTTTTAGTCGCCTTATAAAGACACGCATGGCTTACGGGGGGAAAGATTCTTTTCCCCTTTCCCCCTGGACAATAGAAGAAAATTTAAAAAAAAAACCCGGGTTTTTAGAAAAAGGAGAAAAACCCCAGATGTATGTATATATTTTGCATGTTGGTTTTTGTCTGTGAAAGGGGTGCCCAAAAAAATAAATAGGAGTAGCCCAAAATATCCCCGTTATCTAGCGTGTTTATGGACAAAAAAAAAGAAAAACCGGGAATTCCCCACCTCATGCAAAACGTTCCCCCTTTCTATTTCACGTTTATCTGGGGAGGCCCTTAAAAAAAAACCCTTTCCCCGGGGGTTGCGTTTCCCAAACCCACTACATATTTATTTCTTCTTTTTTCAACACACCGGCCGATCCCACCCAGGGGGGGGGTGGCCCAAAAGGAAAAAAAAAAAGTTTCTCCTTTACCTTTTTGTAATATTACAGGAGAAAAGGGGTTCCCAGCCCCCTTTCTCCCCGGCCCCCTTTTTTTTGCCTCTTACAACCCCGAAAGGTTACGGAGGGAAAAATTCTGTTTCCCCTTCCCCAAAGGGGTTTAAAAGGAAAAAAAACAAGAATAAGAAATGAAAGAAAAAGAAAAAAAACCCCGAGGGGTGTGTATATATTTTGCTTTTTAATGTATGGGTAAATGTGAACCCAAGTGTAAAATAGAAGTAGCAAGCGTAACCCGAAAATTTTGCATTTTTCATGGCAGAAAAAAGGACACCCCGCAATTCCCACCATCAGAAAAAAAAATTACAGGCTTTCGTTTTACATCACTTTGGAGGACGGTAGTACCTCCCTGGGCGGTTGCTGTCTACCAACCTAAATACCCCATTCCCTATTTATTTATTTTTTTTTTTTTTTTTTTTTTTTCTTTACAAAGCATTTTTTTTCAGTGTACGTATGGTTTAAATTTGGGGATAGGTGCGCGAGTTTTGGATTTTTTTTTTTTTAACACAAACGGTCGTCTCCCACCCCGACAGGGTGGGCCCAAAAAGAAAAAAAAAACTTTCATCATCATCCCCTTCAACACCCTTTTTCCATACTCACACTAAAAAACTGCACCGGTGCTCAGATACGAAGGTCAGGGTGTCCCTCCAAATGCCAAAATCCAAACCCTCCCTTTAAAAAACAGGCATTGTACTTTTCCCCTTTCAGGACTTCCAAATCCAGCTGACTGGGGTTTCCCTGAATTTTTTTAAAATTTTTTTTATCAACTGGGGCCCATTCCCACCAAGGCAGGGTGGCCCGGGGAAAAAAAAAAAACTTTCACTATCATTCACTCCCTCACTGTCTTTCCAGAAGGGGGCTTTAAAAATACAGTTTTTAAAATGCAACATTAACACCCCCCCTTCAGAGTGCGGCACTGTACTTTTCCTTTCCCCCCGGCCCCCGGGCCAGCCTGCCGGGGCTGAATTTCCCCTTCCCAAAAAATTTTCCCCCGCCCACAACCCCAACAGGGCATCAAAGGGCCAAAAATTTATTTGTCTCCCATTTCAAAATCCTTAAAAACATGCTCACGTACAACCCTTTCTAAAAAGTCCAAGCCCCCTTTCCCCAAAATTTTTACCCCCCCCCCCCCCCCCCCCCCCCCCCCCCCCCCCCCATTTTTTTTTCCCCTTTTCCCCCCCCCCCCCCCCAAAACCCCCCCCCCCCCCCCCCCCCCCCCCCCCCTTTTTAAAATTTTATTTCCCCCCAAAACCTTTTTTCCCCTAATTTTTTCCATCCACCCCCCTTTTCCTTCCCCCCAAATTTTTTTCCAATCACACGTTCCTTTTTCAAAATTCCAAAACCTCACCAGCCCCTCCCTTACCCCCCGCTTTTTTAACCCCCCCCCTCCCTTTTTCCAAAACCCCCAAAAATTGATTTTTTACATTAACTTCTCGGGACATTCCCTAAAACCCTTTGCCTTTTAAAAATCTTTTCCACCCCAAAAATAAAACCAAACCCTCATTCCCCTTTTTTCCTTCCCTAAAAAGGTTACAAATTTAACCCCAAAAAATCTTTTTTTTTTCCCTCACTCCTCCTTCCCCAAAAAAATTTTTTTTCCCCAAAAAATTTTTTATCTAAATCGTTTTTATTTCCCTTTTTACCTTACTCTTATCTAGTGCCTTTTTTGCTTTTCCTTTACCCCCCTCCCAAACTTGTCTTCCCAACCCTTTTTAGTTTTCTCCCGTAAACCCCCAAAAAACCCGTATCATCAGCAAAAAGTAAAATGTCAACTGAATTTTTATATTTTTTCCCCATAAATTTTTTTTCCCCCTCCTCTCCCCCAACTTTCCCAGATTTTTCTTCCCTTTTTCAACCCCCTCCTTTTAAAAATGTTAAAAAAAACCCTGGTGACAAATTTCACATCCCTGTCTTTGACCCGCTTTTACTGGGGAAATAAACTTCCTCTCTCTGTTACACCCTAAAACCGGGGCCCCACTATCCTCATAACCTTTTCAGCATTTTTTGTAACTTTTTTAAACCCATTTCCATACATTGCAAAATGCCCCCCATTGCTCCCCCATTTCCCCTCTATCTTGGGCCCTTTTTTAAATTTTTTAAAAAATGCAATGAAAACTTTTTCCCCACTTTATTTTAAATACTGTTACTAAAATGCTTTTAATTTTTAAACACTTGAAACTACCATCCCCACCCCACTCTAAAGCCTCCTTTCTCACTGCAATCCTACTCTGTCTTACACTAAATTTTTTATCCTTTAAAAACTCTTTCCTACACTTGTCCTTTGGGATACTATTTAAAATTAATTTCCCCTATAAATTTTACCCAAACTCTTTTGTCCCCCCTTTCCCCTTTTTTTAAAAAAGGAAAATATACACACACCTGCCGATCCCCAGGTATCTTCCCTTTTCTACAAATTTTTTAAACAAAAATACCAAAAACCCAAACCCCAATATCTCCCCCCGCTTTTAACATTTCTGCCTGATTTCCCGTCAGTTCCCCGCGGGTTTACCCCCTTCAATTCAGTAATGCTTCACTCGGGCCCCCCCCACACTCACATCTTGCTCTTCTTCATTCCCAAAATTTTGTTATACCCCTGGCCAGTGCATGAAATTACTGCCCCCTTTTTTCATCGACCCTTTTAAAAATTCCTCCCAAAAAATTCCCCAACTACCAATACCCTTTATTCCCCATCTACTTTAAATCCCCTACTCTGGGTTTTTTAATTACCCCCAAATTTTTTCGTTCCCCCGGGTTTTTTAACTTTTTTTTTCCCTTTTCCAAAAAATTTTTTTTTTTTTCAGCCCAAAAATTTTTTACAGTGCCCCTTTCCCCTTCTTTTATTTGCTCTTTTGCACCCCCTAACCCCTTTTTTTCCCCCTTTTTTTTACTTCCATTTACTCTGGCCTTTGGTTTTCATTTCTGCTCTGTAAAGACCTCCCTTTTAAGCTACCTTTTTTTTTATTGTTTTGGGAAAATTTTGTAAAAAAAAAAGACAATTTTTTTTATTTTTTTTTTTATCAAAACTGGCTGATTCCCCCCAAGGCAGGGGGGCCCGGGAAAAAAAAAAACTTTTTACCATCATTCCCCCCTCACATCTTGCCCTCCTTCAGAGTGCAGGGGCCCGTACTTCCCATCTCCAGGACTCAAGTTCCCCCCTGCCCGGTTTTCCTTTAACCCCTTTATAAATTTTTACTTTGTCACACCCCCAACCGACGTCAAAATATTAAAAAACCCTTTTCTCCTTTTACTCCTATCAACCCCGCTCCCGCCCTGCCCTGGAAGTCCAAACCCCTCGGGCCCCAAAAAACCCCTTTTCCCCTCCCCCAACCTTTTAGGCGACCCCCACCCCGCCCTTTCCTTTCCCCCTCAACCTGATACACTCTTTTAAGTCATTCTGTTTCGCTCCATTCTCTCTACATGTCCGAACCACCTCAACAACCCTTCCTCAGCCCTCTGGACAACAGTTATTCGCAATATTCGCATGTATTAAGAGTCGGGTAATCAATCTCGGCTACATCCAATTCGGCCCCACCAGGGCCATGTGAGGTAAGTTAGATTGTAGTAAAAGCTTGCCTAGTACAATATTAATATAAAATTGATTGGCAAATTTGGCGTGTGTGTGTTTTTGTATGTACTTGTGTGTATTTTGTGTGTGTGTGTGTGTGTGTGTGTGTGTTTAGGAGGACATTACCCAGTCCAGTTTTCTATACAGTACTTAATTCCTAACACAAGGGCATTTTATATTGGTGGAGTAGTTTGAGCAGTTGAAGAACCCAGCAGCCTTCCCTTACCCCTTCCGTTTTCAGTTTTTTCTATATAACAAAATTTCAACTTTGTCAGAATTTACTATAACTTGTAGTAAATATTCACAATCCAAATCATGGGTATGATTTGGATTGTGAATAATTGTATATACTAGTGTTATCGTAATATCTGTAATGTTACAGTAAATTAGTAGCATTAGCAGCAATTTATTATTATTAGTATATATTTAGTTTTTTTTGGCTTTCAACAGGAATGTGAAGAGCGAGAGTTGGGAGCCATGAGAGCACTCAGAGCCCACAATCGCAATAAACGTGATGGTGATAACCCACAAGAAGGAGCAACCTTCTGTCTATGCCATAAGCCCCCACAGCCCAATATGCTCACCTGCTCTTTGTGTCTTGACCTGTTTCACAGTATGTATACTACTACTTTCTTTTTAAAGTTTTAAACATTAACCTAACAATGCTAATGTTATTCTTTATAGTAATTTAGTAACTATTTGCTATTCTTGTTTTTCATGCTGATTCCTGTGATACAGCAGTTTACTTTTAACCTGTAAACGGTCCAAACGTATATATACGTTTTTTCAACATTTGAAAGTATGTAAAAAAAGTAGATCTTTTTTTTTTTTTACATTTGAAAATGTGTAAAAAAAACTTTGATCTACTTTTTTTTGTTATATTTGAAAATATGTAAAAAAACAAATGTAGATCTACTTTTGGAGCATTATACATGTAAACGTAGATCTGCTTGGACCGTTTACGGGTTAATGGCATTGCCTTATCATTTTAGTTCCCCCAGTTTTTCTTTGTATAGATGTTTTATTATACCCCAAGTCTTTTTACCAGTATCAGTGGCATTGGAGATGTGTCTGTTGCAATGTGTGGTGTAAATATTATGCAGAGAATTCGTACTGTGGAAATTAGGAGGAAGTATGGAGTTAATAAAAGTATTAGTCAGAGGGCTGAAGAAGAGGTGTTGAGGTGGTTTGGTCATTTAGAGAGGATGGAACAAAGTAGAATGACTTGGAGAGCATATAAATCTGTAGTGGAAGGAAGGTAGGATAGGGGTTGTTCTAGGAAAGGTTGGAGGGAGGGAATAAAGGAGGTTTTGTGGGCGAGGGATTTGGACTTCCAGCAAGCATGCATGAGCATGTTAGTGAATGGAGACAAATGGTTTTTGGGACCCGACGAGCTGTTGGAGTATGAGCAGGGTAATATTTTTTGAAGGGATTTAGGGAAGCCAGTTAGCAGGACTTGAGTCCTGGAGGTGGGAAGTACAACGCTTGCACTTTAAAGGAGGGGTTTGGGGTATTGGCTGGAGTGACTTCTAAACTGTCATATCAGAGTGCCTCTGCAAAGACAGTGATTATGTATGAATGATGGTGAAAGTGTTGAACGATGATGAAAGTTTTTTCTTTCTTTATTGAGTCACCCTGCCTCAGTGGAAAACAGCCAGTGTGTTGTTACAAAAAAAATTTTGCCTTGCTCACAGTCCAACACTAACTCCACACTACTTTCTAATTTCTAAGTAATATATCCTATATATAGATAAAAGGTAAGTTTTCTAGACATCCTTTGATATTCTCTTTCAGTTCAGTGAATTCCTCTGCCATTGCTGAATGTGATTTGTATATGAGGATAATTGCAAGTGTTTTTTTTTTCTGCTTTATTCCATGTACTGTACTTGACCATATCATTAGTTGATTATAATTATTTGGACTTAAGGTTTGAAGGTGGGAAGGACATTGTCTGCATTTAGAAACTTGGGTTGAGATTTTTGCACTCATCTGATCAACATTGAATCATAATGATTACTCTGATAAAAGACAGAATATCAAATAATGACATTTCCCAAGCACTAGTTTATCTCGACTGATTTAGCACTTCAAATAAATGCCTGGATCTCTTCATATTTATAAGATACACTGATGGTACAAGGATATGATTGGTGTAAAATAAACAAGAACAGGTTAGAGATTTAGTACTAATATACAGGTGAAAGTGCTGGATGATGAAAGTTTTTTGTTTCTTTTTGTTTTGTTTTATCCTTTTTAGGTCACCTTGCCTTAGTAGGAAACGACAGATGTGGTAAAAAAAAAATATAGGGGTACACTTGTAAATAGTGCATTTCCTCTTGTTCCATCTTGGTTATGTATTTCATCTGGTTTCATTTGGAATACAAGATGGAACAAGCAGTACCTCTCTGAACTTCAACACTGAGGCATTGGAATATTTCTTCTATATATATTAGGTTTTATAGGTAGTAGGTTGGTAGACAGCAACCGCCCAGGGAGGTACTACCGTCCTGCCAAGTGAGTGTAAAACGAAAGCCTGTAATTGTTTTACATGATGGTAGGATTGCTGGTGTCCTTTTTTCTGTCTCATGAACATGCAAGATTTCAGGTATGTCTTGCTACTTCTACTTACACTTAGGTCACACTACACATACATGTACAAGCACATATATACACACCCCTCTGGGTTTTCTTCTATTTTCTTTCTAGTTCTTATTCTTGTTTATTTCCTCTTATCTCCATGGGGAAGTGGAACAGAATTCTTCCTCCGTAAGCCATGCGTGTTGTAAGAGGCGACTAAAATGCCGGGAGCAAGGGGCTAGTAACCTCTTCTCCTGTATATATTACTAAATGTAAAAGGATGAAACTTTCGTTTTTCCTTTTGGGCCACCCCGCCTCGGTGGGATACGGCCGGTGTGTTGAAAGAAAGAAATATTAGGTTTTAGTCTGTTGCACCATTTTTACCTTTAAACGTGTTGCAGGTGCATGTGTACCATCTTCACATCGTACTAAAGTTAAATTGAGCAGTGAAGGTCGATTTTTGTGCCCATCTTGTGAACGTTCTCGGCGTCCACGTCTTGAGACGATCCTCGCTCTTCTTGTTGCCCTCCAGAAGTTGCCACTAAGGTGAGTCACTTGTGTTAATGGGACTTCCATATAGTGAGCTGTTTTTTAATCAAATTTGTTTTACATCAATAAATTATTCTCTCTAATGCAGGTATATTCTATTTGTTCACCCCTTGAAATATTAAAAAAAAAAAATATCATAACCCTTTGATTCAATGCTGCTAATGGCCCAACAGCCTATATGTATATGGAAACTTGAAAAATATAATGCTAAATTTGTATTATAGAATTCCTGTATTTTCAGACTACCAGAAGCTGAAGCACTACAATGCTTAACAGAGCGAGCCATGTCTTGGCAGGACAGAACTCGGCAACTTATGAAGACTGAAGAATTGACAGCTGCCTTGGGGAAGTTGTCCGTGTTTTCACAAAAGCTCATCGAAGCTCATGCCAAACAGCATAAACCAGTCTCGCCTGACATACAGGATGTAAGAATCTTAACAAGTGTTATACTTTTTTTCTTTTCACTTTTATACCTATAATTTTTAAAGACCTAGGTAGTAGGTTGGTAGATACCAACCGCCCAGGGAGGTACTACCATCCTGCCAAGTGAGTGTACAACGGAAGCCTGTAATTGTTTTACATGATGGTAGGATTGCTGGTGTCTTTTCTGTCTCATAAACATGCAAGATTTCAGGTACGTCTTGTTACTTCTACTGACACCTAGGTAACACTACACATGCATGTACGAGCATATATATACACACTCCTCTGGGTTTTCTTCTATTTTCTTACTAGTTCTTGTTGTTATTTCTTCTTGTCTCCATGGGGAAGTGGAACAGAATTCTTCCTTCGTAAGCCATGCGTGTTGTAAGAGTCGACTAAAATGCTGGGAGCAAGGGGCTAGTAACCCCTTCTCCTGTATGCATTACTAAAGTTAAGAAGAGAAACTTTTCTTTTTTTTTTAGGGGGGGGGGGACCCTTCCTCAGTGGGAGATGGCCAGTTTGTTGAAAGAAAAAGAAAATTTTTGAAGACTCAAAAATCTTGCCAAAACAGTGACACGAGTCCGGTAGGCAGTTAGAAAGACCACAGTAACAGACTGGTAAATGAAGAGGAGAATGCATAATATTCTATTCATGCTATGCATAAATGATTATGGTGGCATACGGGAAGAATGTATATAATGTGTATAACTTTCAAGCTACCATCCTAAATTTACACTCCACTCCCACTTCTTCATAGAAATATTTCTAAACTCGTAGGTGTCACAGGTTTTGACCACCACTGGTCAAAATTTCTGTACATACAGTACTTCTAATTTGTTGACAGTTTGTAGCCTTGCTATTTACTTTTAAGGTTTTAGGTACTGTGCCTCTAAAAGAAATCATTGACAATAGAAATTTCCAGTTTTACTATTAGACATTCACCCCCCCTCCCCTCCCCTCCCCAAGAAAAAATCATTAATAAAAGAAGAGAACTGTGGAGTGGTCTTCCTTTGCCTTTTAGTACCTGGCTTTCTCTTGGGAAGTTCATAAGGAGGGAGATAGGCAGTCATATTCTTCATCCTCTGCCCTGCCACTTCAGATTGTCCAGCTTGCCAGGCTATTTCACAATTATGCCTTCTTGCCTGGGCCAAGAGATAAGCCCTCTCTTCTGTACTGAACTTAAAAGGCCCCATTATAATTACTGGTAACCAAATTATAAGCAATCAATCCAGAAGAACAGTCTAAAATGGAGGTCAAGCTTATAGCCACTCTTAAGGTAACCGAGAGTGCGTAATTGAAGTATTCTTTGTTACGTGTAAGCTGCTTGACTTATGACGAGTCTCAGTAATATTGCTCACAGGCTATCTAGTGCATTAGAAATGATGAAACTTAAATTGTCAATTTCTTTTGCATTCTTGGCTCCACAGTTTATTTTGCGGGTCTGGTATAGTTGGCAGTTGTGTAGCCCTTCCTACACTTATTCATTTAGTGTTGGATTAATATCACCCATATTTGTATGATAGTGTCATTTAAATGTAGCCATTATTACTTATGAAATCGTAATAACACGATTGCAAGCAAACAGTAGAATATGTGGGGTTTGAACCCATAGTGAGTGAGTCATGAAACTCCAGGCCCGTGCATAAGCCACTGGGCCAGCTGGCTACAGTCAGATTCATCCAACTAGGTATATTTATACATCATAGGGAGATTAGCATGGACCACTACTGTGACCACAAATGCAAGTTTTTACAGATGAATCTCCTGCCAGTGTGGCTGTGGCGAACTCTAGCTCAAGTTCCCTCAAAGCCATCATCATGACTCACAGGAGATTCATCTGTAAAAACTTTGTGGTCACAGTGGGGCCCATGCAAACCTCCCTGGGGTGAATCTTATTGTAGCCAGCTGGCCCAGTGGTTTATGCAATAGCCTGAGTTTTATGACTCACTCATCATGGTTTCAAACCCCACCCATTCCATGGCTTATTTAGTTGCCATTTTTCCTGGTCCAAGGAATTCAGTAGGTACATAATATTAAAAGGCATTAACTCGAACAATTACCAAGCAAAATATCTGGTCTATATTGAAAGCAAAAGTGTTCTATATAAATAAGTCATTAAATTTAAAATATAACTAAGGAACATAAACCTAAGAGTGTTAAAATATATGACTTAAGGCAAATTTACGTATTATTACATAAAGTGAATAGTTTTTGTGAACAATAGTAGGTTGGTAGACAGCAACCACCCAGGGGGGGTACTACCGTCCTGCCAAGTGAGTGTGAAACGAAAGCCTGTAATTGTTTTACATGATGGTAGGATTGCTGGTGTCCATTTTTCTGTCTCATAAATATGCAAGGTTTCAGGTACGTCTTGCTACTTCTACTTACACTTAGGTCACACTACACATACATGTACAAGCATATATATATACACACATCCCTCTGGGTTTTCTTCTATTTTCTTTCTAGTTCTTATTCTTGTTTATTTCCTCTTATCTCCATGGGGAAGTGGAATAGAATTCTTCCTCCGTAAGCCATGCGTGTTGTAAGAGGCGACTAAAATGCCGGGAGCAAGGGGCTAGTAACCTCTTCTCCTGTATATATTACTAAATGTAAAAGGAGAAACTTTCGTTTTTCCTTTTGAGCCACCCTGCCTTGGTGGGATACGGCCGGTGTGTTGAAAGAAGAAGTAGGAGGTTGGTAGACAGCAACCACCCAGGAAGGGTACTACCGTCCTGCCAAGTGAGTGTGAAACAAAAGCCTGTAATTGTTTTACATGCTGGTAGGATTGCTGGAGTCTTTTGCCTGTCTCATAAATATGCAAGATTACAGGTAGGTCTTGCTACTTCTAGTTACACTTAGGTCACACTACACATACATGTACATGTTTATTTATACACACTCATCTGAGTTTTCTTTGATTTTATCTTAATAGTTCCATGGGGAAGTGGAATAAGAATCTTTCCTCCGTAAGCCATGCGTGTTGTAAAAGTCAACTAAAATGCCAGGAACAATGGGCTAGTAACCCCTTTTCCCGTAATAATTACTAAAAAGATTAAGAAGAAGAAAATTGTCTAAGTGGGAAGTCTGAATGTGCGTGGTTATTGTGCAAATGATAAAAAAGAGATGATTGTGGATGTTATGAATGAGAAGAAGCTGAATGTCTTGGCTTTAAGTGAAACAAAGCTGAAGGGGGTGGGAGAGTTTCAGTGGAGAGGAATAAATGGGATTAGGTCAGGGGTTTCAAATAGAGCTAAAGAAGGAGTAGCAATAATGTTGAAGGATAAGTTATGGCAGGAAAAGAGGTATTATAAATGTATTAATTCAAGGATTATGTGGAGCAAAATGAAGGTTGGATGTGAAAAGTGGGAAAAGAGGGGAGAAGTGTAGAGGAGAGAGAGAGGTATTTTGGGAAATGTTGAGTGAATGCATGGGGAGTTTTGAACCAAGTGTGAGAGTAATTGTGGTTGGGGATTTCAATGCTAAAGTGGGCAAAAATGTTGTGCAGGGAGTAGTAGGTAAATCTGGGGTGCCAGGGGTAAATGAAAATGGGGAGCCTTTAATTGAGCTGTGTGTAGAAAGGGGTTTGGTAATAAGTAACATATTTTATGAAGAGGATAAATAAATATACAAGGTATGATATAGCACGTAATGAAAGTACACCTACCATCCGACTTACGACCGAGTTCGGTTCCGAGAAACCGGTCGTAAGTCGAAATGATCGTAAGTCGAACTTTACTACTGAATATCAACAAAACATTTTATTGTTTTATTTTGGTATTTCATGTTTTACTTTACTTTTTATGTTGTTAGTACTGTATTTTATACTGTAAGGTTTAGGATAAACACTGTGTACAACACAAATAGTTGTTTATTTCCCAAAAATTTGGCATAAAAAACACGGTCATAAGTCGAGTGGTCGTAAGTCGAGCAGGTCGTAAGTCAGATGGTAGGTGTAGTTTGTTAGATTATGTATTGGTGGATAAAAGGTTGATGGGTAGGCTCCGGGATGTACACGTTTATAGAGGGCAACTGATATATCGGATCATTATTTAGTTGTAGCTTCAGTTAGAGTAAGGGGTAGATGGGAAAAGAGGAAGGTGGCAACAACAAGCAAGAGGGAGGTGAAAGTGCATAAACTAAGGGAGGAGGACGTTCGGGTGAGATACAAGCAACTATTGGCAGAAAGGTGGGCTGGTGCAAGTATGAGTAGTGGGGGGGTTGAAGAGGGTTGGAATAGTTTTAAAAATGTAGTATTAGAATGTGGGGCAGAAGTTCGTGGTTATAGGAGGGTGGGTGCAGGAGGAAAGAAGAGTGATTGGTGGAATGATGAAGTAAAGGGTGTGATAAAAGTGAAAAAGTTAGCTTATGAGAGGTTTTTACAAAGCAGAAGTGTTATAAGAAGAGTATATGGAGAGTAAAAGAAAGGTAAAGAGAGTGGTGAGAGAGTGTGCAAAAGGAGAGCAGATGATAGAGTGGGAGAGGCACTGTCAAGAAATTTTAATGAAAATAAGAAAAATTTTTGGAGTGAGTTAAACAAGTTAAGGAAGCCTAGTGAACGAATGGATTTGTCAGTTAAAAGCAGAGTAGGGGAGTTAGTAGATGGGGAGATGGAGGTTTTGGGTAGATGGCGAGAATATTTTGAGGAACTTTTAAATGTTGACGAAGGAAGGGAAGCGGTAATTTCATGCACTGGCCAGGGAGGTATACCATCTTTTATTGTGAAGAAGAACAGGATGTGAGTGTGGGGGAGGTGGGTGAGGCATTACATAGAATGAAAGGGGGTAAAGCAGCTGGAACTGATGGGATCATGACAGAAATGTTAACCCTTTCAAGGTCTCCAGGCCCTCTCCGAGACTTGTTCTCAGGGTCCCCAAATTTTAAAAAAAAAAAAATATTTTTTCTTTTGAAAAGATAGAGAATCTTTTCCTGATCATAATGACACCAAAAGTATGAAATTTTATGGAAAACTTAGGGAATTATGCTCTCGCGAAGTTAGCGGTCTCGATGATGATTACACATCGGCAATTTTGCCCACTTTGAGCCCTATTTTCGGCCAATTCCAGTGTACTAGTCGACAGAAATCATAACTATTTTGCTAGAACTTCATTTTTTGTATCGAGTGAGTACAAGAAACCACCCATTTACCAATTTCAACTATACAATAAAGTGGTCAGAATTTAGCAATTTTGCCAATTTCACATAAATTTCAAAAGATGCCAATTTCCAAATAGGGTCCAGAATAAACAAGAAAGATATTCCTGGCACTAAAATAACAAGTTCTCTGTTCGATAGTCACATCCCCAGGCCCCTCTTGTATTTCTTAGGCTTTCCAATTTGAATTTTTATTCTTACAAAAAATAGAAGATTTACTGTTATGCAGACTACTGCATTAGTGTAGAAATGGTATAAATAATATCAGCACACTTGTGAAAGAATATTAGACTCACCAGTTGACGTGTATTAGACGCTTGGCATGATTTGTTTACTTTTGAACTTTGGTAAAAATCGAACATTTCTGCTACTTCGAACTCAATTTCAAGGTACTTTTCATTGTAAAACCAGTCAAAATCATCTCAATTTCTGTAATATGTCTTCCATTCTGTAAAATGAGACCAGGTCAAAGTTTTTTTTTTCTCATTACTCACTGTGTGCTGCAGGATTTTTTTATACTGTGCACACTGACCATATAGACCCATTCTTTCATATGTAGGCCTACCATCTTTCTCTCACTAGATTTGAGGGTGCTAGAATTTAGGCGTACTAGTACGTCAAAAACCATGGGGCGTAAGCCATACTAGTACGGCCAAAACCCTGAAAGGGTTAAAAGCAGGGGGGGAATATAGTGTTCGAGTGGTTGGTACTTTTGTTTAATAAATGTATGAAAGAGGGGAAGGTACCTATGGATTGGCGGAGAGCATATATAGTCTCTTTATATAAAGTGTACAGTAGGGTTATAATTGAAAAAAATTAGAGGTAAGACAGAATGTAGGATTGCGGATGAGCAAGGAATTTTCAGAGTGGGTAGGGGATGTGTAGGTCAAGTGTTTACATTGAAGCATATATGTGAACAGTATTTAGATAAAGGTAGGGAAGTTTTTATTGCATTTATGGATTTAGAAAAGGCATATGATAGAGTGGATAGGGAAGCAATGTGGCAGATGTTGCAAGTATATAGGAATAGGTGGTAAGTTACTAAATGCTGTAAAGAGTTTTTATGAGGATAGTGAGGCTCAGGTTAGGATGTGTAGAGGAGAGGGAGACTATTTCTCGGTAAAAGTAGGTCTTAGACAGGGATGTTTAATGTCACCATGGTTGTTTAATATATTTATAGATGGGGTTGTAAAAGAAGTAAATGCTAGGGTGTTCGGGAGAGGGGTGGGATTAAATTATGGGGAATTAAATACAAAATGGGAAGTGACACAGTTACTTTTTGCTGATGATACTGTGCTTATGGGAGATTCTAAAGAAAAATTGCTAAGGTTAGTGGATGAATTATCTGAGTGTGTGTAAAGGTAGAAAGTTGAAAGTGAACATAGAAAAGAGTAAGGTGATGAGGGTATCAAATGATGTAGATAAAGAAAAATTGGATATCAAATTGGGGAGGAGGAGTATGGAAGAAGTGAATGTTTTCAGATACTTGGGACTTGACGTGTTGGTGGATGGATTTATGAAGGATGAGGTTAATCATAGAATTGATGAGGGAAAAAAGGTGAGTGGTGCGTTGAGGTATATGTGGAGACAAAAAACGTTACCTATGGAGGCAAAGAAGGGAATGTATGAAAGTATAGTAGTACCAACACTCTTATATGGGTGTGAAGCTTGGGTTGTGAATGCAGCAGTGGGGAGGTGGTTGGAGGCAGTGGAGATGTCCTGTCTAAGGGCAATGTGTGTTGTAAATATTATACAGAAAATTCGGAGTGTGGAAATTAGGAGAAGGTGTGGAGTTACTAAAAGTATTAGTCAGAGGGCTGAAGAGGGGTTGTTGAGGTGGTTTGGTAATTTAGAGAGAATGGATCAAAGTAGAATGACATGGAGAGCATTTAAATCTGTAAGGGAAGGAAGGTGGGATAGGAGTCGTCCTCGAAAAGGTTGGAAGGAAGGGGTAAGTTAGGTTTTGTGGGCAAGGGGCTTGGACTTCCAGCAGGCGTGCATGAGCGTTTTCGATAGGAGTGAGTGGAAACGAATGGTATTTGGGACCTGACGATCTGTTGGAGTGTGAGCAGGGTAATATTTAGTGAAGGGATTCAGGGAAACCGGTTATTTTTGTATAGCCAGACTTGAGTCCTGGAAATGGGAAGTACAACCCCTGCACTCTAAAGGAGGGGTTTCGGGATATTAGCAGTTTGGAGGGATATGTTGTGTATCTTTATACGTATATGCTTCTAAACTGTTGTGTTCTGAGCACCTCTGCAAAAACAGTGATTATGTGTGAGTGAGGTGAAAGTGTTGAATGATGATGAAAGTATTTTCTTTTTGGGAATTTTCTTTCTTTTTGGGTCACCCTGCCTTGGTGGGAGACGGCCGACTTGTTAAATAAAAAAAAAAATATGGAGCTGTTTAGTTAAAACCTCATTTTAGCAATGTATAGCAATTCAGAGATGATGAGGTCCAAATTATAGTATAATTTTTAACTTTATACAGTGCTAATGTTTGACACTTGTTATATTCTTAGTAGGTATTGGTATGTGATGGCATTTGACTGAAAATGTGGAAATATACAGTTCTTCTACATTAGTGTTTATGTGGCAGTAGTGAAGGTGGGAGTATAACACTTGACTAATATTTTTGGCTAGTATTGCAAAGTTTTACCATTTAAGAGTCTTAAAACATTTTCTAAAAAAAATTCTTAATAATAGCATCATGCCATTTAATATAGTTTTCTTTTCAGGAAAAAATGGAAGTAGATGAATCAACAAATGATGATTCATTGTTAAGTGAAGATGGAGAAAAAGAGAAAGAAAATAAGGCAGAGGGTGAATCAAGGGTAGATATAGATAGAGAGGGTAACAAAAAATCTGAAGAAGGAAGTTGGGAGCATGCTTATTCAAGTAACAAACAAATGAGGGAAAAGAAGACCGAAGCTGACAAAGCCCGATGGAGCCGTCTTGTCGCTGCCCTAATAGAAGACGATGATGCGCCTTTGATATCCCTTTCAACAAGCACTATGTCACAAGTACAAGACCTTTTAGTTGAAGGGGAGCTATTAGAAGTTAGTCTTGATGAAACAACCCATTTATGGAGAGTTTTGCAGCTGCCAACAATCCTCCTGCTATGTTGGAAGATACACTTTTGTCTTTGAACTCTTCCAGTAATAGCAGTGAAGAAAGCAAAGCCAAAAAGACAGCGGCTAAGAAGCGAAAATCTCAAGGTGAAGGACTAGACGATATTCAGCCTAAGTCTCCACAAAAATCTCCTTTGAAGAAAACAAAAATGACAAAACTATGTTCTACTCCTATTGAAGGAAGGACAGCAAAAGGAGTGGTAAAGAAGAAACTTAACCTTGCCAAATGTGGGGAAAAGAAAAAAAGGGAAGGAGGCCCAAATAAAGATGGCCCCAGGAAGAAGAACATGGGTCTTGGAAAAAAGAAAAAGATGCATTCTGCCTCATCAAACAGTATGCAGAGTGAGGATGATGATGATGATGATGACATTGATGAGGCATGTGCTGCAAGCAAATGCCATCATCCAGCTGGACAGAATGTTGATTGGGTTCAGTGTGATGGGTGTGAGGGCTGGTTCCACTACATTTGTGTTGGACTTAAGGCAGGCGACGTTCATGAAGATGAGGATTACATGTGCTTGAAGTGTGCCACCAAACAGCCTCCTTCCAAGGTAGGAGGTGATGAAATCACATTCTAAAGGTCAAACATGATTATTGGATAATTTTGCTATAACCTTTTTAAGTAATTACCTTAATTTTCATTAATGCCAAAAATGTTTGCCTTTATTTTTGGGGTCCTTGTTTTTTATAGTAGTAAGTGTACCTTGGTCTAGGTTTCTCTGGTGTTAATTACAATGTGCACTCTACCACACACAGTGATTTGTGTTATAGAGCAATCAAAGTATTTGCTTACGGTAATCTTCATTATGGAGCAAAGCACTTGAAGCATAAATCATGGACTATAGTGGAAGAAAAATATAATGGAAGAGCTTGAAATTTAAAGGAAAGTTGTAGGTAGTAAGATTTTTGGGAAACTGATGTAACATTAACTTGCAGCCAGGGGAGTTGACGGAAGAAGAAAGTGTGGACATCCTCCTCAGCCTAGCTACAAGCTTGCCACCCAAGGAGTCTCCTTCACAGAAGTAATGTGTGCTACTGTCATACTGGAAATGTAAATGCTAGGGTGCATTCAGGCTTCAGACTCGTGCTGGCATGTG